GTTCTTTCTTTTATGCCCAGTCTAAAACAGTCTTCCAGCAGTTTGTTTATTTTAGGATTTTATTTCCAATGCAATGCTGCAGCCGGCAAAGCAAATGAAATCCTGGTTTGCATCTACCAGTGCATCTCAAACAAGACCCAAGATGTCATCCTCCCACTTTACTTAGCCTTGGTGAGGCCACAACTGGAGTACTGTAACCAATTCTGGGCTCCACACTTTAGAAAGGATGTGGAGGAGCTTGAGAAAGTCCAGAGGAGAGCCACGTGCATGATCAGAGGTCAAGAGAACAGGTCTTTTGAGGAGAGGCTGAGAGGCATGGGACTCTTCAGCCTGGAGAAGTGCAGGCTCAGGGGTGACTTGGTGGCAGCCTATAAGTACATAAGGTGTATGCATCAGGATCTGAGAGAACGTCTGTTCACCAGGGCACCCCAAGGGAAGACAAGGTCAGATGGTCACAAACTACTAGAAGACTGTTTTAGACAGGACGTAAGGAAAAAATGTGTTTACTGCCTATTCCAGTCTCCAGTCTGGAATAGACTGTCCCCAGAAGTGATGTAAGAACCTACTCTGGACACGTTCAAGAAGCGTTTGGCTGATTATCTTGCTGGGGTCATCTGACCCCAGTTGACTTCTTTACTTCCTGATAACTTACAAACAAGTAACAACTAACAGTCCAGCATCACAGATTGAAAAGTCTGGGTGACAGGAGGATGACATTGTAAACAAAATAACCATGGGCTCGATGACATGCCTCCCTCCCTCCCCCCTTATGTTCCTTAAATTCTGGTTCTAATCCACCTTTAAAAAGTGGCTCACCTTGGCTAGAGACAGAAGTTACACATAAACCAGTCTAAGTGATCAGAAACTGGTTTAAATCTGTAATAGGACAGAAGTTCAGCGCACATAAACCAGTTTCAAAATGGCTGAAACTGGTTTAAGATAAAACTGATTGAATGTGGTATCAGACTTAACTGATTTGGGTCAAACTGGTTTATGAAACTTCTGTCCCAGACCCCTTCCTGGTTCAAGTTAAATCACAGTTCCCCCAGCATCCCAGCATGGTTTTCAGCCCTGGGCTGGGCTGTGCTGTCTGCTCCAGACAGCAGAACTGGTCCCACCCCTCTGCTCCCTAGCTGGAGCAGTGAGGCCTGGGGCTGGTTCACTGATCTCACTGACTGGCTCACTGCCCCACCTTCCCCCAGGCAAACCCCAGCTGGGGGCTGGGGGCTGGGGCCAGGGAGGTGGGGGGTTAAACTCACCTTCCCCTGAGTACAGAGCTGCCCTGCCCTGCTGGCTTACCTAGTGCTGGATGTGACTGGACTACACATCCCAGAGGCACCTGGAAGCAGGAAGAAGAAGTGACGAGCAACTCTGCAGAGTCCTGCTGCTGTAAGTGTTCTGCAAATCCCAAAGACCTTGGGAGCAGCAGAAAGAGGAAGTGAACACAGGCAGAGAGCCGTGCTCTAGTGCACCCTGGCTTCTGGCTTGAACCACTGCAGGCAAGTGGCTGCATTTCCTGAATCACAAGTGAATGTCTGCTCATTTGTTTATTGGTTCAATCTTTGCAGCTTAGATTAACCTGCAAAGACTGAATCAATTCATCCTCAGGCTTTTTGACTGTCTGTACTTAGCCCTTATCTATTGGCTCATGCAAGGCTGCATCTGAGTCTTCCCTGAAATCTTTCCTCCTCTAGCTCATCTTTGCTGTTCTCTCTAAATCCTCCATTAATGTCAAACTTCTTGCTGTACCTAAATGCTGTCCTCAGATGTCCAGGGCACTGGGCAGGGCATAACAAACAAATGCTCTCTACTCTACTGATCTGCTTATTTTCCTTATTATAAATAAGAGCTGATGTTTGATTTCCCTTACTAGAGTATTGCTAGCTCTTTACAACTCTAGCAAAGAAAATCTCCTTTAGAACTGATCTGACTGCAGTGTGGTAGCAGTGCAATTCCTATTTTTCTTTTTACATACAGATACTGAGAGCCACATTGAGGAAGCCTGGGGTGGCAATGGTAAGAAGGGTGTGTATTTGGTTCATTCCAGTAAGGCATGGCAAATAGTAGTGTGTTCTTCCACAACAGCCCATGGGATGCTCTTAACAGTATTAATGGATCCCAAACACTGTCCCATGGATTCCTTGCCAAGTGATCGATAGATGAAAGATGTTGTCTGATGTGATGGTAATGCATATGTAGCTACATTCAGGGTAGCCACTGAACCTCAGCTAGTAATCAAGTGACTTTTGGGTTGTTTTTGAGACTCTCCTTTCCATGATTTAAATTAATTATTACGGTAGTTCTTATTTGTGGCAATAACGTACACACAACCATGTGCTTCAGCTACTCTTTTGGAGAATGTAATGCTTTGTAGCCTTTAGGCTGCTTTGGGCAGCATGTGAAAGCTCCCCTTTCAATTAATGTTGGGGTTTGTTAAAACAAGATTAGCCTATGTTGCATCTGTCAGATGTCATGTCATATATCCTCTTCCAATGCATCCTTCTTGGTCAAAGGCTCTATTTAAGACAGTTACATTGGGCGTGAAACATTAGCAGTTCATGCCATTGCATTATGTTAAGCACTGCCAACATTTTGCCAAAACTCTTCCTGCCCAGCTTGTTGCTGTACTTTATGTACTGTACTTTCAGACTTGTGGATTGTAGAAGAAGGTGGTTAGTGAACCCAGTTGTAGTTATTGTAAAGTACAATGTTATTTCTCTTGCATTAAAACAATTCAATATTTTACTTCATTTCTGTTTCTGCTATGGTGTTTTTTGTCAAATGTTTAGGATGCCTTATGGGACACATCCTGTTGCCTTTTTCTAATTGCAGTGAGTAAGTTGCATCATTCATAGCCATCAAGAAAAACATGCTATGTTCTGAGTCCTTGTAGGTATAACTTTGGTATAATTCTTATATGCTTCTCTCTTCTGCTGCTTACCGGTGCTGTCTTCTGCTTACCTTGACTCTTCTTTTATAGATTTTTATTTCAGGTGGATTTAATGCATGAAGGATGAACAGAAGCTAGGAATATGATATTCATCACTACTGGTGGGAAATCTTTAGCTAAAGCCCTGTTACCCTTACTATTCTAACAAGCAGTAACATAACAATGGGTGGGTGAGCAAGACATGAGCCCCGGGCAGTGCTGGGGAGGAAGGTGGGGTGCCAAAATGGAGTGGGGGGGGAATTGCTTCTTTCTGCTTCTGCATTCTGCCCCTTCTCCACAGTGGCTCCAGTAGCCAGAACAGAAGAATAGCCACAGGGTTGTTGCCAGCAAGATCCTTACTTCCAGAAGCTTCTGGTGTAGAGGGAGCTGCTAGCATGGCTAAGTGCCAGAGAGTTAACCCTTATCTTTTTTCCCTGCTGAATTTCAGCTTTTAAATCACCAATGACTAAAATGGAATGCTACTTCCAGACAGAAGGGACCAGAACCCAGGACTCCTCCCTCCTGGTTGAATGTACTCTTCACTGGTCTACGCTCCCTCTTGTTTGAAGACCTACGTAGAACTCCACCTAGTAATCTAATCACTACATCCGCTACATTTTTATCCACTTTCAATAATTTCCCTTCAGGGCTTGATGATTGCAATTGCTTTTCTGATTGCAGTAATTTCAGAGCATACTTCATCATGACAGTGGTTGTATAACTGGATTATGCATTTTGCTTAAATGGATTGTAGGGGCTTATAACTACAGTAATACAATGGAAAAATCACTGGAAAGCAGGCTGCTCTCCTTTTCTGAATATAAAAAGGAAGGTTGGAAGGAGATGAGGGGGATACAGTGGCACTTCCTAGCCATTAAATAAGCCTTTTACGTAAACAGAGTTGTTACTGGGAATTTAAAGCTGTTTTAATTCCCTTGGAGGCGGGAGTCCAGGGGAAGAAAAAAGGTTAATAAAAGCACATGCAACAGAAGCCTGTAAAACCAGACAATCTACTGAATCATCCAAAGTTATACCTTATTCTGCGGCAAGGACCATAATTGGAAAGACCTTAAGACTTTATGACACGGACAGTATGAACTGGCAACCTGGCCCCCAGGGTGTAATTTTAGATATCGCTACAGAGACGTTCAGGCATGAGTAATGTGAGCTGTCAAGCCGCAAGCTCACTTTTTTTATATAAGCAGCTTGCCTCCCTTCCATAGGATAGTGTCCATTGAACTCTATTAGCAGGATAATGGGGCTAAAAAAACAAATTTTCCTTTCTTCAACACTTCATGTCCAACAATCCCAGCGACCCGATGAAAAAGCATTAAACCAACAGTGGTTTTAAACAATAACCTGTTCAATTATTTGTAAGTTATAAATGGATAATGTGCCAGTCAGTATTTTTACAGGTCTAAAAGTGATAGATTCTGGAGGCGATTTTGCAGCAGGGAATGTCTTAGGTCTTTGTCAACAAATCAAAGACGTGGTCTGCTTTCAAGAGGAAGTGATAGGACTCTTCTGTCAGGAACACAAGTCAGGGATACAGGCAAGAACAATTTTTTTAACTCACTCATATGTAATGGGTTGAAAATGTATCATAACATAACCTGTATCTCCATCCAAATCCAGTGACTTCATAATTCACTATCATCTCAGTGGTGTTGCTTCAATTTACCAGACTTCTTTTACTTCTTTTGTATCTCCATAAAATCTGGCCAAGGCAAATGTAAGAAGCTCCTTCCAGCATCTCTCCAATTTTCCTCCCTTGAAAACCCATCTTGTTCCTAGCTGCCTGTGTGTTTTTTTCCAGCTATTATTTGTCTGTAATGCTATTAAACAAGGTAAAGTGCAAGTTATATGGCTTTCATGAAGACTGAAAGACACTACAATCAGAGTTATACTGTACACCTGCAGCAGAGAATAACTTCTTTACTGCTGTAATATTGCGGGCAGGTCATTTATAGATCTAACCCTCAATCAAAATATTTAACCCTTCAAAGTCAATATTTGGATCCAATTTTGGGGATCAACTTTTCTTCCTGAAAGGAATCAAAGACAAGCTATCTGGATATGCAAAACAATATTTTATTATTAAAAGATTTATAAACAGTAAGAAAGTAACATCAAATTTTACATGGAATGGGAAGTTCAAAATAATTCTTGGAGACCCAACACAATATCTGTACACAGATTTCCTGGGGGAGTAGCAGTACAAATTCCTCTAAGGATGGCTGAAAGTACAAAAAGCATCATGCATATATCATATGCAGAGAAGCTACCCAATAAAATAGAATTAAAAAAACACAAAAAAATCTGTACATCAGTGATTAAAAAGAGAAGTCATGCTTTATGTAGCACCAGGGGAAACATAAGTAAGTAGAAAAATTCACTCAGAGATGAAACCCTGTGATTTTCAATTAGGGACATGACTGACCAACTTCTGCTTGCAGCTTCATCTCTTCTTTTCTCAAAGGGAAAGTGTCAATAAGAGTAAAGAGCTCAGCAGGTGTAGCCGGGAAAGGGTAACGCTCTTTGTCCATGCCATGCTTGTCCATCACCAGTAAGCTGAAATTATTTTGGGAGATTCTCAGCAACAACCTGACAAAGTAAAAAAAAATGCCTGAATATCTTAATCTAATACAGGGTTGTCCAGCTGGCAGCATGAAGCCCCCAGAGGGTTAGCATGGAGCCTGTGGGCTCCCACCTAGCCACCACCCCTATCTCCCAGTTGCTCCTGCCCTGGCAGCTGGAAGGGGGCAAGATTGTGTCCAAGTTGTGCACACAGCAAAGAAAGGAACCAGACTGCCTGCACTGCAGTGGGTGATGGATATGGCCAGGAGACGAGGCGAGATGCTGTGCATGCAGCTGAGGAAAGAACTAGGCTGTGGGGGGTTTGTGGGAGTGCAGTCCTATGTGGCTGTGCGCACATAGCAGGGGGCCAGGGAGAGGGCACTTGCATGGTGTGTGGCCCCTGCAGCCCCTTGCTGCCCAGAAGTTGGACAGCTGCAACCTAGTGAAATGTCGCAGGTTGGTATTGATTTTCAGATAAGGGACTATGGGGGAAGGGAGAAAATTGTGGGCATCTATGCAGCTCCCATATGTAGACCATGGTTGAGGTGGGGCTGTATTAATAATACAGCTTTCAGGCCATATGCTTGCCACCCCGCAGGGGTCCAGAGAACATACTGCCCACAAAGCAGTAGGAGTCAACTTCTTTAGAAGGTGTGCCACAAATCAGCTCCACACCCTCCATGAGAGTTATTTTGATTTCCTTCCCCTGTACAATCTGCTGCTCTGCTTTCTGCTCCCAGCCTCATGCTCACTGCCTGCTTTGCTTCCTGCTTCCTTTTTTACACCCTTGGCCCAATTTGCAGCTTTGCTTCCTGTGCTATCTGATGTTGTGCTGCCTGCCCCCTCTCCCCTGATCTGACATGTGCCACATACAGAGGTTGCCCTGTGCTGCCTGTGGCACCATATCTCAGGCTGGCCACAAAGGCCATAAAGGCTGGAAAGTCCAGTGTGTGTATACATTGGAAGGAGGATAAGGAAGCTGCAAATATGCTGCATTTTTTGCCAGCTGTATGATTTTTGGCTGTTCCCATGTTGTTAATACGACCTTCACTTCGGCATCGTTGGGAAAATCCTGGCTATAAAAAAAAAAAAAAAAAGTACTGGTGAATGCCTATCAGCACTACTTATAATCAGAACAAAGTGCAAACTGTCTGCATGGAAGCAGCACTACATGTGCCAGTGTCTCGAGCAGCTGGTGTTACAACACAATTATGGAAGGGTAAAAAGGGAAATAAATGCTTACTGTTGAAGCACTGGTAAGTGTTATACAGCAATGTAAAATGCCAAATGAAGCATTCATTCTTTCCATTCAAGATCAGTTGTGAATGTGCTTCCAATCTTTTACTCTCTCTAGAAAATGTGTTTTGAAATGTAGCAATTGTGTTTGTGGCGGGTGCAGAGATCCCACCTCAGGAACACAGCTGGGTATTCGTATCCCTCTGCTGTTTCCACCACGTGAGGCGGGCCAGTAGGGGGCGCTCCTGTGTCGAGCCGCCCACCTCCCTGCACCCAACCACCTTCCAGGCTCTGAATGCCTCCCTAGGGGCGCCTTATGTCCAGCCGACCCCTCTCCTGGAGCACACTCGCCAGTCTGGGGGTAACGTGCCGCCACCACCCCGAGAGT